CTTTCATTTCTCCAAGGAGTTCTGTCGCCTTTTATTAAAGAGTGATATTTAGAAACCGAGAAGTGGGTGCTAGGTCTGCTCATCTCATATTTTTATCAGTGACTTGAATAATGGTCAAGAATGCTTATCAGATTTATAGATGACTCAGAACTGGGAGGGGAAGCCAATTGCATGATAGAATCAATATTCACAATGACCTCAATAGGATGAGATATGGACCAGAACCAAAAGATTTAAAGGAGATCAATACAAAGTCTTGTCCATAGGTTTAAAAAGTTAATTGCATCATTTCTGGTTTCAGGGAATTCCAAACCAAAGTTGAGTATCAAAAAGGAGCTCTAGTTGTTAGTAGACATGGGACAGCAGTGTTCCGTGACTCTGAGGCTGTGTTCATTTATTCATTCACTCAGCCAGTACTGACTGAGGGTTAACCATATGCCAGGCACTGTTCTAGAGGCTATGGATAGCTTATTTACCAAGCCAAAGGAGCACAAATACTTGCCTTCCTCAGTCAACATTTCTTGAGGGTGAGAAGGCAGGTGAGAGGTTCAGACAATAAAGAAAAACCACAACAAATAAGCAAATCATATAGTGTATTAGAAGATGATGAGCACTTCGAAAAAACATCTCAGGGAAAGGGGAATATCGGGGGAACTTCGGATTCTTCAAGAAGGTGATCTTTTTTCTTTTTTTTAATTGGAGTATAATTGATTTACAATGTTGTTTTAGTTTCAAGAGCACAGAAAAGTGAATCTTTTATACAAAATCATGCATCCACTCTTTTTTAGATTTTTTTTCCCATATAGGTCATTACAGAGTATTGGGTAGAATTTCCTGTGCTATACAGTAACTCCTTATTAGTTATGTTTTGTACATAGTGGTGTGTATGTGTCAGCCCCAATCTTCCAGTTTATCCCTCCCTCCCCTCTACCCTGAGACTATAAGTTTATTTTCTATATCTGTAACTCTATTTCAGTTTTGTAGATAAGTTCATTTGTAGCCTTTTTATATTTATTTATAATTGGTGGATAATTGCTTTAAATGTTGTATTGGTTTCTGCTGTACAACAAAGTAAATCAGCCTCAAGTATACATATAGCCCTTCCCTCTGGAACCTCCCATCTCACCCCCCTTCTCACCCTCTAAGTTGTCACAGAGCGCTGGGCTGAGCTCCCAGTGTTACACAGCAGCTTCCTATTAGCTATCTGTTTACATATGGTGATGTATAGGTTTCAGTTCATTCTACCCTCTCCTTCCCAGCTGTGTCCACAAGTCTGTTGTAGCCTTTTTTTAGATTCCACATATAAGCAATATCATGTGATATTTGTCTTTCTGACTTAACTTCACTCAGTATGATAATCTCAAGGTGCATCCATGTTGCTGCAAATGGCATTATTTTGTTCTTTTTTTATGACTAAGAAGGTGATCTTTGAGAAAGATTTGAAGGAAACGAGGAACTCAATCACTTTCTGGGTAGAGAACTCCAGGCAGAGGGAGGAGCCAGGGCAAAGGTCTTAAGAGTGTTCGTCCACACAAGTGCCTGTGGTAGAGTGAGTGAGGGGTGTGGAGAGCAGTGGATGATGCAGTGGGTGTGGGGCCGAGGTAAGCTGGAGCCTTGCCCACCACTCTAAGGAACCCCTGGAGGGTTCTGAGCACAGGAGTGCCATGACCTGACTTTGGTTTTGAAAGTCACTCACTCTGGCTGCTGAGTTGAGAAGAGATTGAGAACTGCTCAAGGGTCGTCAGAGTGAAAGTCACTCAGTCGTGTTCGACTGTTTGTGACCACATAGGCTACAGTCCATGGGATTCTCCAGGCCAGAATATTGGAGTGGGTAGCCATTCTCTTCTCCAGGGGATCTTTCGAACCCAGGTCTCCCGGATTGCCGGCAGATTCTTTCCCAGCTGAGGCACCAGGAAAGCCCAAGGGTAGTCAAAGCTATGGTTTGGAATCCAGTAGCCATGTATGGATGTGAGAGCTGGACAATAAAAAAGGCTGAGCACTGAAGATTCAATGCTTTCGAATTGTGGTGCTGGAAGACTCTTGAGAGTCCCTTGGACAGCAAGGAGATCAAACAAGTCAATCCTAAGGGAAATCAACCCTGAATATTCATCGGAAGGACTGATGTTGAAATTAAAGCTCCAATACTTGTGCCACCTGATTCGAAGAGCTGACTCATTGGAAAAGACCCTGATGCTGGGAAAGATTGAAAGCAAGAGGAGAAGGGGACGACAGAGGAGGAGATGGTTGGCTGGTGTCACCGACTCGATGGACTTGAGTTTGAGCAAACTCAGGAAGTTGGTGATGGACAGAGAAGCCTGTCTTGCTGCACTCCATGGGGTTGCAAAGAGTCAGACACGACTGAGCGACTGAACTATAACAAGGGTAGAAACTTCCCAGGTGGTGCTAGCGGTAAAGAACCTGCCTGAACACAGGAGATGCCAGAGATGTGGGTTCGATCCCTGGGTTGGGAAGATCCCTGGAGTAAGAAATGGCAACACACTCCTTTTCTTGCCTGGAAAACTCAGGGACAAAGAAGCCTGGTGGGCTACAGTCAATGGGGTCACAAAGAGTCGGACACGAGGAGCGGGCAGTAACTGGGACCCCAGGAGGTGATAAGTGGTCAGATTATAGCTTTGCTAGTGGATTGAGTATGAGGAGCAAGAGACGAGAAAGGAATTAAGGTTTTTAACCTGAGCAATTCAAAGACAGACTTGCCATTAAATGGGATGGAGGAGGCTCACATTAATGGAGCATCTGGAACCACACTGAATTTTAGATACCTATCAGATAAGACAGCCTTGTAGAAATGTCAAAGCCATTTGGAATTTAGGACAAAGGTCCTAGTTACAAGGCTTCTCGGGTGTCATAGTGGTAAAGCGTTCACCTGCCAATGCAGGAGGCTCAGGTTCGATCCCTGGGTTGAGAAGATCCCCTGGAGGAGGAAATGGCAACCCACTCTAGCATTCTTGTCGGGGAAAATCCAATGGACAGTGGAGCCTGGTGGGCTACAGTTTATGGGGTCACAAAGAATCCAACATGACTGAGTGACTGAGCACACACCTAGCTACAGATAGAATGGATGTCACTGACTGGAGATGTTTCGACACCATTGATACGGCAAATTGTCCCAGGCCTGGATATAATGCAAGAACTACGGGTAGTTGGTGCTGCCCACGTGCCAGGCGGAATTCTGTGTCCAGTGCTGGACGACCCTTTAAAAAGGGTGTCACCAGTCTAGAAGGTGGAGACACAGAGATCATGGAAGCTTGGGTGTTCATGAGGAGACCTGGGACCATGTGAGCACTGAGCCCACCCCTTGTCAGTCACCCTGTGGGAGGCCCTGGGAATAGGGTGAGAGCCAATGATGCTAGCTCTGAGAAAGCTCATTGTGGGCTGGGGGTGAAGAGGAACTTTCCAGTCATTGCAGCTAATTCCTGGAGAAACTGTCCCTACTGCCATGGAAATGACTGGCAGAGGTTTTCCAAATCCTTTCGACTTGGACTACAGGAAGAATTACATTTTACTGTGATCCAGTGCAAGGGCTTCCCCGGGTGGCGCTATTAGTCAAGAACCCTCCTGCCAATACAGGAGACATAAGAGACACTGGTTTGATCCCTGAGTTGGGAAGATGCCCTGGAGGAGGGCATGGCAACCCACTCCAGTATTCTTGCCTGGAGAATCCCATGGACAGAGAGGCCTGGAGGGCTACAGTCCATGGGGTCGCAAAGAGTCAGAAGCCAGGCAAGCAACAGCACCACAGGATGCATGCACGTGATCCTGTGCTCAGTTGAGAAAAGCTGAACCAGGCTTCCTAAATTTTCCTTATCCTTTCTACAATCATTGCACTTTGGTATCTTCCATTCAGTTTCTTTGTTTTTAATGTTGATAGGGATTCACTAACTTGATTTCAGGATCCACTAAGGGATCCTGTGCGCAGTTTGAAACCCCTGGTCTCAGCACTACTGAACTCCACCCCTGGGGACTCAGACCGCAGGAGGACCGGGGGTGGGTGCCTCTGGGATTCCAGCCTTAGGGAGTACTATCCGCTGCCAGGACACGTGCAGTTGTGGAGAAAGTCTCACGTCCTTGGCAGTACATTAAATCCTATTATCCCACTTAAGCTAATTTTGCCCGGATTCCCCCCATCCGAGGTCTGGCTTCGTGTGGACAGAATTCCAAGCGTGGATGACCACGCGGGCATCTAGATTAAGTGTCAAGCTTGGAGTGAACCCTCAGCCAAGACCTAAAGTGGACTGACCCATGCAAAAATTAGGTGCAGAAGCAGCTAGCCCGGAGTCCGCAGCAGCTCGGCGGAGTTCATTTGGTTACCGACATGTGGGTGCCAGGAGCGCTGGGGGCGTGAGGGGGCGGGGGCCGGCAGGGATAAAGGGAGAAGACACGCGCTCCCAGTGCAGAGACCCACACGTTTTCCCAAACAAACGCGCAGAGGGTCCCCGAGGAGCCGGAAGGGGCCAGGGCGGCGGTGGGAGGGTCTGAGAGGTAGGGGCGGGGAACCAGGGGTCTGCTTTCTTCCGCGCCCCCGCGGCCTCTGCTGCTGCTAATAGCCCGGCTCGGCTCCTGCCTGGCGCGCACGGAGGTAGGTGCACCCCCGCTGGCGCCCCTGGAGCCTCCAGCGCCCAGGAAGGAGGAAGGGGAAAGGGGCGGGTCGGGCCGGGAGCTGAGCCGCGAGGGGTTGGACCAACCGCCCAACTTCCTCCTTCGGCCCCTCCCAGCCGCGCTCGCGGGCGAGCTTCGATCGAGCGGGCCCGGCGGAGGACCGCGGTGCCGGGGAGGGGGCGGGCGGAGGGGCGAGCGTGCGCGCAGCCACGTGACCCCACTTCCCACCCCGCTCCAGCCCCCTAGGTCCGGAGGCGGGGGCGGCCGGCCCACTCCGGGGCCGGACTTCGGGGCGGGGTTGCCGCCCGCGAGTCCCGGAGAGCCACCTGAGCCGAGCCCGGAGGACGCCGTCGCTCCCCGCGGTCCGAGTCCGGCGCGCCGCGATGGGCCGGGGGAGCCGAGCGGCCGCCCCGCTGGGCGCGCTGCCGCTGCCGCTGCTGCTGCTGCTGCCGCTGCTACCGCCGTCTCCCTGTCTGGCGCTCACCCCTCGGATCAGCCTGCCTCTCGGTGAGTGCTGGGCGACCCCGCGGAGGACGCGGGCAGGGGTCTGGGGGAGGGGAGGGGGCCGGAGAGGTGGCTCTGGCGGAGGTGGTGGTGACAAAGGAGACGGGAAGGGAGGGGGTCTGTCGGAGGCTTGGGGTCCATGAGGAGCCCTCCTCCTTCCAGCACGCTGCTGGGAGGGAGGGAGGAGAGGAGAGGGGAGCTGTGGAGCCGCAGGTCTCTTTCTTCCATTCTTTTAATGGGCAGGGAGGGGGTCTTTGGGCCGCTCCGTCGCCCCCTGGTACGGCGCCCTTTCGGCGCTGACGCTGCCCCCATGCCCCCCACCCCCGGTGCTGGCTGCCCGCTGGTCCGCCTGTACATCTGCTTGTCTTTGATGCTGACCAGAGCCAGCCGCGGTGCCGCCCCCCGAGGGCAGCGCGGGGTGGAGGGGCCCTTGATGCCGTCCAGTAAACACTGGGGTTCTGGTGTTACAGCAAGTCGGAGCAGGACTCGGGAACCGCGGCGGGTGCCCCATTCTCCCTCCGCCTTTTCACTCTAGCGAGACGGCGCAGCCTGCGCCCCCTGCCCAGGCGTGGTGGGATACCCCCAGGGCCTGGAAGCCACCGCAGGACCCCTCCCCGGAGTCACCCGGGGGCACCATCCTCCTTGGCCAGGTCCCGTGTCTGGTGCTCACATCTGCTTCTCACATCTGGCTCCCCACTCTTCCCGATCCTTACTTCCCCTTTCGTCTAGTTGCTGTTTTAACTCTTTGAAATCAGAGGCACCTGGATTCCAATTCCATTTCTGCCACTGAGCAAGTGAGTCCTTTTTCCGCGTGCCCCAGTTTGCTCATCCATAAAATGGGCACTGTCATAGGATTTTTTGCGAGGCTATCTTGGAGATTTCATGAGACTAGGCAACATATGTAGATGCCCAACAGATGTTGTTTCTCCAGGCCCTTCCACTTGGGTGTCATACTGAGTGAATTAGAATAAAGGATGTATAAAATAGAGTTTACAGATCAAAACTGTACCAGGCTTACTTGTTTTTACAGCATCTCCACTTCTAAAAGCATTTCATTTACTGGGACTTCCCTGGTTGTCCAGTGGGTAAGACTCAGAGTTTCCAATGCAGGGTGTGGGGTTCGATCCCTGGTAAGGGAAGTAAGATCCCACATACCTTTCAGTATGGCCAAAAATCTTTTAAAAGCATTCCATTTACAATAAGAAAGAGGAGCAGAATCGGTCCTTAAAGTAAGTCTGGACCACTGGGGAAACCCTGTCTGAAACATTGCAGGATAGTACTGAGAAGATGCCCAGAGTTCAAATCCTGCCTCTGCCACTAGGTAATTGTGTGACCTTGAGCAAGCTGCTTAACCTCTTTGGGCCTTCATTTCCTCATCTGTAAAACAGGGATAATGATAACACCCACCTCCGAATTGAGAGGATTAAATCAGCTTCTGTTTGAAAAGTCCTTAGGACAGGGCTTGGTACATAAAAGCCGCTCCATAAGTGTTAGCTATCATTATTGCCACGTGTCAGCATGGGCTTCGACACATGCTGCCCAGAGCCGGGGTGATTCTGCCCCCGGGGTGGGGGAGGGCAGTGCTGGGGCGTTAGCTTGACCACAGCCCGATGAGAGCTCCAGCCGGGTGACTGAGGCTCACAGGTGTATCCGGACCCAGGCCTGCTGCCTGGCTGCCTCGCTGCCCCTCCCTTTGCGCGATGGTGAGATGAGGAGGGAGGCAAAGGCTGTGATGGGCTACTTCCGGCCCCGGGAAAGCTGGGCCGGCTCACGGGGGTGTGTCAACTGTAGCAGGTATTGGGTCCACCTCTGAAGCTGGCCGGGGACCACTCATAGGATGATTAACGACAGAGAAGGGAAGGAAAAGCGGAGAGGGGAGCTGTGAGGAGGAACTGAGAGGGCCTGCTTCCTGAGAGCGGCTGGAACACTTGGCTGTTAACTGCCCACACCGAAGGCCTGGCCCACATCCACACATCCGGCCCTGTGGCCAGGCCGTGGTGCAGGCTTCTGTCACACGCCAGCACCCCCTGCACAGGTCAGCTTGGTGCTGCGGTGTGGGTGTCTGTGTACTCCCACAGTTCGTGTGGTAAAATCCTAACCCCCTAAAAGAAGACACTCAGGCTCACCTATGAGGACTGTGCAGGTGCATGCATTTGGTTCATGGCACAGAGGCGACCAGCTGAGGGGTTGAGGGCCTGCAATGCAGTTCGTATACTCTGCTTTCCAAGCTGTGGAGCCTCACGAAAAAGATTTTCCACTGTGTGCTTGAAGCTGGGTCTATGCAGAGGGGTCCTCTTTTTCTTTTTTTCTTTTAATTAGTTTATTTACTAGGCTGCACCAGGTCTTAGTTGCAGTATTCAGGGCCTTCAGTCTTTATTGTGGCACACAGGGTCTTTAGTTGCGGCTTGTGGGATCTAGTTCCCTCATCAGGTAGCGATCCCAGACCCTCAGCATTGGGAGCGTGCAGCCTTAGCCCCCGGGCCACCAGGGAAGTCCCACCAAAGCCCTGGCATCATTGAGTAGCACCTGAGCGAGTGAGTGTGAGTATCCACACTTTGCTAAGCTGCATTACACCCAGAGTGTTCGCCTCCCTGACTTCACTCCAGGTCATGACACCCTGCTGCCGTCTACATGCAGGTCCTCCCAGCTGCTGGTAGCCCCAGTGGGGAATGCCCTGGGGACTAAGTGGGCGCACCCTCAGAGCGTGGCCAAACGCGGTTTCCTGTCTCATCCCTGGGGGCTCGTTAGATATTCCTGGCAGTGAGCCCATGCTGGCCAGGCCTGTGGTGACCATGGGATGTTGGGCTTGAAGCCCCAGGCCCCTCCCTCATGGAGAACACACCCTTCTTCCTGCCACCTGCCCTCACTATTCTGAATTCCTACCGAAACTCCCCAAAGGTCCAGGGTGCCTAGGGCGAATGGCCTATGTCTGTGGTTTAAAGCAAAACCCTTAAAATTCTGCGTCTGCGCCCTTTGTATGGAGCCATGGTTGCTGTTGATCAGCAGCAAGTGCCTGGGGCCATCAGAAGGGGGTGCCCCACTTGTGGTCTCACCCAGTGAACAGGATCGGGGCGGTGGGGAGGAGGACTGGGGGCTCCAGGGTCAGCTCGGGCATCAGAGGCCTTAAGAGGAAGTCTCTTGTCCCTGTGAAAGGAATGCTTCAAAAGGGAGTGTGGAAACTTGGTTCTATTGCATCAGAGACTGTGTGGTCAGGAACAGGAGAGATGCGGAGTGGAAACAGGGCCCCGGGTGTGCAGTGCATCCAGCCTGCCCATGTGGGCAGAAACAAAACAACCTGCTCTTCTGCTTGTGAAAGTCACATTGGGTCCCTTTATTTGGGCAATTAAAGGAGCTATGAATCGCTCCCCCCCCCCCCCCCCCGCCCCGTCCCCCCCACCCTCCTCCAGCTGCCTCAGAAGTGCCTGGCTGGAAAACTCTGGACACAGTGTTTCCAGTCTAGATTGCACAGAAACCCATAAGCCTGCAAACTTCAGTCAACAAAACCCCATTGAGCAGAGAGGACATGGCATTGGCCTGAATCAGCTGTTTGTCCTCTGACCCCAAGCCGGCACTCAAGGTCATGGCTGCCCTGAGAAGTCCCATGCAAGCCGCTTTCTTCCTTTCTTTCTTTCTTTTTGGCCAGGCCACTTGGTTTCTGGGACCCTTCGTTCCCTGACCAGGAATCGAACCCAGGCCCTTGGCAATGAGAGCATAGAGTCCTAACCACTGCACCACCAGGGAATTCCCTGAGCCGCTTTCAGAGTCTTTTCCTGGCTGCTTCCTGGCCTCCCTCCTTGAGGTGGCCTCAACTTGAAGGTGAACATTTGTCTTCAGCTCTGACTGGTGGGCTGGCATCTCCACGGCCCCTCAGCGCCGAGTTGTAACTGTGGGGCTAACAGCTAGCTGACTGCACAACCTGGGGCCAGCGCCTGCCTCTTGCAGGCCCGATTTCACATTGACAAGATGGGAATAATAATAGCAGGACCCACATCTCTGGGTTCTGAGAGGATTACATGAAATAATGTATGTAAAGTGTTTGGCCTGGTGCCTGGCACGTGCTCCGTCCCCAGTAGAAGGTAGCGGCTTTTCTCTGTGGTGGTAATCTCTGCCTGCCTTCTTGGGTGAGGTTATTTGCATCAATTTGGTCGATATAGTCTGAGCGCTGGCTGGCTGTAGGCCCTCTGCTTGCTGCTAAGACTAAGACCTTCTGGCCCAGGAATGAAGTAGTGCAGACCCCCTGCCTACCCTGGGGGTAGAACAACAAACAAGTCCATCCTTTGCACACACCTCCCTCCACCACTGCCCTAGGGCTGATCTGAGGCCATCCCTCAGGCTCCTGCTTAACTCAGTCCACCTTTCAAGTGCTCCTGGTTCAGCTCTTTCAAAGTCCTCTTCTGCCCCAGAACCTGGTCTGCCTGGGGCTGGACCACACCTCTCCCTCCTCCCTGCCCCTCGCTGCTTCCACTCTGCCCTCTGAATAACCCACATTTGTCTGGGTGTTGAAATGCCCGTGTGCCAGCCCAGCAAAAAATACTCTGAGGTTGCGTAACTTGGGCCACAGCTGGATACACCTGCACGTTCATCTCCCAGCATGGAAGGGGGGATGGCACGGGGCCTGGAGAAAAAGCTGGACTCTGGGCATGTCTGTCACTCTTTCCTTTGTCCGCTTCTTAGGACTTGTAAGCCCACTCCCCCATCCCTGGGTGCTTAGGATTGGAAGAGCAGCTTCTGATGTGGTCCTTGAATAATAGGTTGTGTGTTTCCATCTGGTGAAAAAACTACTGAGGTCACTGCTTGGATTAGACAAAGGAGCCAACTGATGCCCTGATGGCCTAGCGATGGTCGGAAGTAGGGTAGACTCAGCAGACTCCTAGGGGATTCCCAGGTGGTGCTAGTGGTAAAGAACCTACCTGCCAATGCAGGAGACATGGATTTGATCCCTGAATCAGAAAGATCCCCTGGAGCAGGGCATGGCAACCCACTCCAGTATTCTTGCCTGGAGA